CGATCTGAGACTGGCTAACAACTTTCGTGTATTGAATTCAAACAAACTTATGGCTATTTCCTCCATTTCGTTCACTATTCTTATAAAACGTGGTATAAAACATATTAGTTCCAGCTCTAGAAAAAAGGAAGAAAGAGGGACTCTGGGAGTTCTCTTTTTTGACATTTAAAGTCAGTATCGAGGAATTTGTTGCGAGGGTCAAACAACCAAATATTTTTTTTCGTCTCAGATAATCAACGATGAATGTCGTAAAAGCTGGGAATTTCACAGANGTCGGTAAAATTAAGTCGTTCTGTTCGGTTCGTTTGTAATGTCCATGTCGTGAATGAGTCATTTGTATGGAGCCGGTAGTAGTTGACACCTGTTTAGGGTAGTCTGTTCTAAGTTAGTAAACCAGCTTCCAAGAGTCAGTCATTAAAATTAGTCAGTGAAAACCACCGACAACAGTCCTTTCCAGGACTACATTCACCCGGACGATCACAATACACTTTCACACCAAGTGACTATTGTTGAATAGTTCCCCCAAACGAAGTCGAGGAGATTATTCAACACTGTTTACTGAACCTGAGGCGAATAATTGTTTTAGTATAATTGTTCGGGTGCTTTCGAATTTTGTTGTAAGTCCTGTCAAGGGAGAAAGCTCCTCGCATGTTTCGTTACATCTTTGTTAATTACTCTTATCAAGATTTCACAATTTGAGCACTAGAAGCCGATTTTGTACACCAGTGCTCGACTGTGGGCACGATACTAAAATACAAACAAGAGAAGGAAAACACACAAAACAGCTCACAAGAAAGAAAATTATTTACCTTAACGATGCATACTTTATCAAGGAAGCAGCAGCTTTTAAAAAGGGGATAAGAAAAAATTGATCAACAGGCCTGATTAGTACCCTACATAAATTATGTAACATTAAGCGACGATATAAAAACGTTAAATACAAGTTCTCAATACTGTCAATGAAATATATAGACACTCACAGGTAATAAGAGTCGAACCTGTGGTGAGCGGGCACCCACAAGGAATGTGACCGCCTAATGCAGGTTTCACAGATAAAGGAAACGATAAACAACGCAATTTCACGCCATAATTAATCACCTAATGCACAGAATTTCGCTCGAAATGCTGCTTATTTAGATTTTGGAAGAGAAACAAGGATAAAAAATTACTGATTAAAAAATAAGTATTCCCCATTTCAAAAACGAGTGGGGGAGTGGGTCGAGTTCGCCGCGCAAGTTTGTCTGGGATCGTTACTCGGGATACAAATCTTTGTTTACTATACATTTGAATCCCGAGTAACGATCCCAGACAAACTTGCGCGGCGAACTCGACCCACTCCCCCACTCGTTTTTGAAATGGGGAATATTTAAGTGACCGTTCAACAGGCCTTTGGGACTTACAAAAGGGTGACCGACAGCGATTACGAGGAAACGAATTCGGGACTTTGACAACTGACCGCTTAATATATACAGGTTCGACTGTAACCCGTATTTGCGATACACACGTGCAATCAAGACGTCTCTCACTAACAGCACGTGTTCACGGTGACCTCTCTGGACTATGAGCCTCGGTGAGTATGTGAAAATGTGTAAGCTGTGCAATAGGCAAAATGTAAAGATTTGTAGGGGAATAAATACATACATACATACATACATGCATACATTTTATTGAACACATCACCGTCTGGGGCTTTTCAGTGAACAATTACATAATTTACATACTTGATACTATCCATACAAAACTAACTAATAATACGTTAAATACAGTATAAGTTACTTATAACTTTAAGAATGGAATGGTTATTTAAATAAAAAATCATTCAGGAGATACCTTTTCAAAAGCTGGTTTTTCACATAGTTTCAATCTTGAGTCAAGTTTATTCCAGATGGCTACACTTCTATAATAAAAGGTCCTCTGACCTGTTGTAGTTTTAAAAAGGGGAATGTTGAGTTGTTGAAAGTTCCTCGTTATACGCCCAGATACGCTGCCTCTTGTTACAAGCTTGGATGTCAAATATTCAGGCGCTTGGCCCGTCTTACATTTGAATGATAAGGTAAAATCACGATAGTACAGGATTGATTTTACCGGTAACCAGCGTAGATTCCTTAACGTGGAAGAAATATGATCGTACTTCTTTACATTGCAAATAATGCGGGCGGCAAAATTTTGAACATATTGTAGCTTATGAACATTACAAGCTGATGTGGAAGACCATACTGACGAACAGTAGTACATCTTACTAAAAACGAGGGCGTTAATTATAGTTTCAAGAAGATCTTTGTTAAAGGCGAATCTAATGCGACTTAGTTGGGATAGTTTCGACATGCAAGATGAGACAGTCGCAGAGATATGATTGTCAAAGGATGGTGTGGGATAGAAAATAACACCAAGATCCTTGACTGTTTGAGCTGGGATAATTTCCTTTCAGAGCAGGGACAACTTAAAGTCTGGAACTTTAAGAGACATTCTTCGACTGCCAAAGACCACCAGTTTAGTCTTCGCAGGATTAAGCATTAAACAATTGTCGAAACACCAATCGCGTATACGTTGTAGATCAGAGTTCACTCTTTCTATAGCTTGGGCAGAATCATTCGCAGTAAAGGATAATAGAAGCTTTGAGTCGTCCACATAGCATTCAGTTGAACAATTCTGACAGATGTTTGGTAGATCGTTTACATAAATGCTAAATAATAATGCTCCTAGTACAGTCCCTTGCAGTACACCATTGACTACTGGTAATCTATCAGATAATACAGAGTTGATGCGGACTGCTTGATTTCTTTGAGAAAGATAGCTTTCGAACCATTGAAGTCCAGAAGATAATAAACCTGTGTCCTTTAGTTTCTTTAGAAGAATCACGTGGTTGATAGTGCCAAAGGCTTTACTCATATCAAGATATACGACTGCAGTGATTTTCTTCTGGTCGATCGCGCGAAGAGTAAAATCAGTAGTAGAGATCAGTGCTGTTTCGGTTGAATGGCATCTTTTGTTGCCGCTTTGTTTCGCTGATATTCTTTGCTTAGTTGTTAGATATGAAGACAGCTGATTTAATGCCGCCCTTTCGCATATCAGAGAGAGTATTGGAAGTAGCGATATTGGTCTATAGTTGTTAGCTTCTTCATGATCTCCATTCTTGAGAATTGGAAAAACTTCGGCAATTTTCCAAGAAGCTGAAAAAACACCACTTTTAAGAGAGGCATTAATGATGGAGGTGATACAAGGAGCGATGGTCTGCAATAAATGGTCTTGAACGCAAAATATCAATTAGCTTTGAATAAAAATAAGCTTACCTGAAGGGGCTGTTCCTTAGTAGCGTGTGAATTTTCTGGGCTGAATAAGGGCCGGTCATCTCAATTTTAGTTTATCTGCTTTGATTTTATGGAGTGCAAAGTCGGAGTTTCGGGCAGAATTTTGGGAGCTTGGGCTTGCGGTTACGCACAAAAGCGAAAAAATCTTGACAAGAATGGAACTTTCGATTTGGTTGTACTATTTTTTCTGTCAAGAATTTTAATGTGATAATCACTTCCGATCCTGCGCATGATGCACCTCCCTAAGTCACCTTTTGTGGTTCACCTTATATGAAATATCGTCTATGTAAAACTCTTTGAAGTTTGACCGGAATCTTGCAAGTTTTCTGGGAAATTTCGTGCAAGAGAAAGAAAAAATGTTCTTTTCGCGTGACTTGTACGAAATAAGACATTTTCATTCCGATTTAAGGCAACTATGGATTATTTAAAAACGATTCTATCCTTTTCTCTATTTTTATTGCTTTTTTCTATCACTGTGAACTGGTTTTTCCCGCAGAGATACGAGTTCAAGAGACGCGTAACGGGTCAGCCTCAAAGATCAAGTCGCGTTGCAACTTTACGGTTGATTAAATTGGAACCAAAGAGCCAACTCAACCTATCTGCTCTGGAGCTAATCCAGAGTTTGGCTTATTGACAAACGTCCAAGTGGCACCTGTACGTAATACAATTTATAATTAGGGATGTCAGATTATAAGCGGAAATACAAGCTTAAAGGAGGTTAAATAATATTTGATTTGATGTCCGCTTCAAGTACTTTATGCTCTGTTCTATTTTTAAAGCGAAGAGGAACACTTTAGGTAACAGGATGGAGAGAGATATAGAAATAAATTTTTCAGGTTCTTGCATATAGTCAGAAGTTTATTTTGTGCACCTCTGAAGACCATTTCTTTAAATCATGTCATTGCAAAGCAGAATAAACTTTCAAGGAACAACTACTGTCGGTTGTTCTTTCGATTTTGCCGTAAGGTGAAAGTGGAAGTTTACTTTTGAAACCTCTCAGCCGTTATATAAACTTCCTTTGCTTTTGTTGAAAACTTCATCCGGTCATCTAATGAACTTAACTGCAGGATTACAAAAGTCTAAAGCCTTTCTATTGCAAATACCTGTCCGAGTAAATAACAGGAAAGTTTTGCAGATTTTCAGGCTCGTTCAGCATAAATATATTCTCAGTGAAAAAAAAAAAAAAAACATAACGAAGCAAACAAAAACAACATCCAGCAAAAAAAAGATACGTTGCAGAAATTTACTACTCTGAGTCTAGAAATAGAAAAATCAAATTTTATTACTTGAGTTACTTTCCCGATAGATTTCTGAGCTGGGACAGATGTTCTACATCCCAAATATAACTACATTACAATTTGACAGAAGTAGTGATAAAAATCTGATATTACATTGTTCTGTAAGGTTTACAGTCAGTTGTGGGCTTGAAGAAAGAAGATACTTCCCGGCAGAAATTTGGGGTGTAAGCCTAACCAAGTGTATCGAAACTCGACTGATTCCCATGTAATAGGATTATATCTTACTAACGTCAAGCTAAACTTCCCGTGAAGGTTCTCGAACATGGGGCGCCCAATTGTCGTATTTCATTTTACTTCCTCTACCTAAATTTAGTTTGCTACCTAAGCAAATTTTTCACTATTTAAAAATTGGTTCAAAGGGTCGTAAGCCATTTCATCTTCCCTCTAACCTCAACAGAGATGGACACGGAAGGAAAAGCTTTCTCCAACTCTGGCGGGAAAGGTAGGCATGTCAAAAAACTGTGGCATTAAACTCGTTGTCTCGCTTTTTATTTTTGGTTGATATCAACTCATCCATGTTGTTTTGTAAATGGTCTCCAAGTTATCCATTGCATATAAGTTAACTTGAACTATATTTGCTGTTGTTCCACTTTATTCAGCCCTGATAATTATGAATAAAGGCTGATAGTTTCGAAAGAAACTGTTTGGGGCTGCGTCGGTGGGAGTAACGAAATAATTTGGATATATCAACAAAGTTGAAATGGTAAATTGGCCACCGTAACGATTACAAAAGCTGACGTTTCGAGCGTTAGCCCTTCGTCGGAGCGATAGTTATGGTCAACTTCTATCATGATGTGACGAGGACACTACTGTGTATATAACGTTTTTGTTTTTCCTTTACATGTACATAACATGATAATTCTCATCTGAAAGTAACTTCTAAGATAAATAAATGGCCAAGGAATCTTACAATGAAACAATTAGACATGTAAGCAAACGTTTCCTTCCAAAATAGATGCCGGGTGAATGATTTAGAATGAAATTATCTTGAGTAACTTGTGAACGATAGCATTTAGTATCCTTGAGTCATTAACTTTTGATGGTGAATTTTCAAATTGGCAATAATTGACGAGATGTTAGTGACGGGAGTAAGAAAGCTGAAAAATGTTGGATCTGTCGGAAAACCGAAAATTGCTAATTATTTTTTGTACAAAATGGTAGACGAAAAGTCGGAATTCACTCGCCTTGCTATTGTAGGATTAAGAAGATATTCAACATCAGTTTTATTCACAGAGAACAGGAACCAGAGATATTCAAATTGATTCTCTGAGCGTATCACAATTGGTCTTGTTCAATATCACTAATTACACCTCACGTCGGAGTTGCGAATTATTTGGAGATTGGGTAGGTTTAGCGAAAGTTTGTTCCCAAAACTAGTAGTAGTATTGATATCTGGTAATATCAATGAGATGATCTTGAATTGAAAACAGCTAGATTTGAAAATCATAGCAACGTTACACCAGATACACAAAACAGGCTAGGATTATTCACTCTGAGATGGTTGTTACTTTGATATTTACGTCAAATGCTGACCAACTGGCAGGTCCAGATATCATTCAATATCTCAGTGATAAGTTCCGTGACATATTTGGAGATTCGATTGGTAAAAAAATCTCACTCTCAAAGTTCCTGTCTGCAGTTCTTACCGCAAAAATTTCTAAATTTTCTTGCAGGTAAGCAAAACTTCTGGATGCTCTTGTTTATTACTAGTTGCTTGGGTTCTATTTTCACTTTCCGGTAACATAGCGTTCTAAAGGGTAATGTTTAAGTCTTAGTAAACAGCTGCATCGTTTACCTCAATCATTTCCTCACATGGGTAACCATATTCGAACGGGAAGCCATTTCTGTTTTCCTTATTCGGAGGTGGATAATCTTTGGAAGACAATATCAAGAACAAACTCAGTAGTCGGCTGCCTCCATGATTGCCTGTGCGGGCACTGCTTCAGAAGTAAAAGTTCGAATTAACTCTTTGTTTATGGCACTTTTTTAGTTTAGATATCCTTCTCTGTCTTTTTGTGATTTTGTCTCATTTATCTCTTTTGTTACTACAGATCAGCGTCCAAAACAAAAACGAAGAAAGCATTTCAAGAACAGAATGCATCTTTGGGAGTTTCTTTTAGAACTCCTTGCAGACAAAAGATGCCAGTCATCGATAAAATGGACAAGACAAGAGGAGGGCGAGTTCAGAATCATCAAAACAGAAGCTGTGGCAAAATTATGGGGCTTCGAAAATGGTAGGCAAGGCATGACCTATGACAAACTAAGCCGAGCACTGAGACAGTACTACTCTGAAAGAATCATTACGAAGGTAGGAATCAGAAATTGGAATGCTATCAAAATTCTTAGACGAACCTGGGTAGCAACAAAGATAGATAGATAGATAGTTTGTTAATAACCGATTTGCAACCAAACGTTGAATTATACGATATTTACAAGTTTCAAACATTGATAATTACGTTAAATGGACTAAATGTATTAAAACAGTAATAAGGACACTAAATATATGTTCTAAAAAAAACAGTTGTGTAAAACCGTTCAAGCTTTAAGGACATTGAAGGTAATAAAACTACTACGAAACCTGTTCATCTTCAAAACTGGCTTAAACTTCCGCATATTTCTGAGGTTAAAGGTACATGTGTTGCGAGTAGGAAGAAGTTCATGGAGCCTGTTCTGTTCATTCTGTAAAACATTCTTTAATAGTTTATCATCTAGTTTCTGGCGGAGAGCGAAAGAAGAGACGTCTTGTAGAAATACCAGTGCTAATATCCCCTTCATCATGATCATTATGATTTCACTCCTCATTTGTTTTGACAAAAGGCTAACGGTCGAGACGTTAGCGTTAGAAACTCTTCACGTGACCAATTTACGTTACCAACTCAGTGATAAAACCAAATTATCTTGTAATACAACCCACTCGACGCAACAACATAGTTTCTTCAGAAACTTACCCCCTTTATCCGTCTGTTTTTCTGGCAGCTCTATATGCTGTGGATGCCTTTGGGCAACGGTATGAACGTTTAGAACTGTTTTCTTTCAGGTTAGAGGACAAAAGACGACGTACAAGTTTGATAACCTTCCATATAATTATCTCCCTGGAGTAACAAGACGCCGTAAAAGAGTATTCAGTGCAAGGAAAGTTTCTTCTAGAGCAGAAAACTGGAAGAAAACGGGGTCACAGGGACAATATACACCAGAATCACCAACAAATTCTACAGAGTTTATTTTGTCTCCTCATCTCATACCTTGTTGTGGTTTATGGGAAACTTTACATAGTTCTAACTCCGAAATCATCCTGCTGAATCCGCAATCATCCCATCTCGAGTCATCTCCGAGTGTTGAAGAGAACAATGGATTGCACATGATCAAAACGCCAGTCGTCTACCCAATTCATCCTCTAACTCCGGAGTCATCACCGTCCAGTTCGCCACAAAACATCCTAGAGCAAAACGGGTCAGGTCGTTTTGCTCAATCATTTTACAGTCAGACCCATCCAAATAAGGAGACCGACTCCATTGTGCCTCTATACACTAGAGATGGGAGCAAGTCTCGCTCTACCTCGATGTCACATTGCCATGGAAACATCCCGACTCCAGGATCCTCCCGTTTCTTGACAAATCAGTTCATCTTAGAGAAACTTTTACCACACAAAGACAAGGCGTCGGTAGTCTCTCCAAGGCAGTATCTCATCCCGAAACCATCACATATCAGCTCATTGGCCAAGAGTGTGGAGCAAAGTACAACAAGAGTCTCTCCGAGTCTTACACCTTGTTCTCCTTTTCCCTTTCCTTACCCTCAAAATTTCATAAGGCCGACTTATGTCTACACTCCGGTCAATAAAGCTCCATATCAGCCCCCGGTATATCCTGTATCTCTTAGATATGATCAACATCCGATAATAACAAATGTGACTGGAAATTACCTGGCTCATCCAGCACCAGAATCTAATGAAAAATAGGTTTATTTTTTGGTAAAGAAACCGCGAATACCACAACTACTCTTCACTCAGAGTAAAATGCTACTTTTTTGTATCAAAAGTATTTGAGGTGTCCACTGAAATTATATATAGGAAAAAAATGATTATCCATTGATAGTGAAAAACATAATCAAGTGAAATCATTGAGACGAAAGTTAAGTATAGCTTGGACACTTTATGTGAAATGTGTTACCAAATGTTATAAAACTGAAACTAACATTTCTTGTGAGGTTTCCAAGTTACAGCTGATAGGATAAAAGGTTTTATAGACTTTACTTTTAATAAGGTTTACGGGCACTTTCCATGTATCACTTTTTGCATATCGCCCTGACACTAGGGTTTTTCCGCCACATTTTCGCATTTCAAAAAAGTGCTAATATTTAGGCGCATATATGGTATGGTAAAAAATTTTTTGATTTTAATTTTGTCATGGTAACTGATAGACAAGGAAGCTTTTCAATTCGAAAACTTTCAGGATCATAGCATGCTGGAAACGCTGATGGGGCAGGGAATGAGGCAAAGTCTGTCAAATCAACACTCCATTCTTTTAAAATTGCATCTTGTTACTAGGTTTATCTTTTTACAACAGTAACTGACTACCTTAATCAGAACTAACCTTTTTACACTTTCATTTCTCATATGTTTCTGTCTCTTGCATGTACATTTTAACTTTTATAAAAAGAAGCGCATGCGTGAGACAGCTGAAGTTTTGAAGCCAAAGGCCTTCTTTTTATTTAAGAAATTGTACCAAAGAACTGTTTTAGGTCAGAAAAAGATTTTCGATAAATTTTCAAGCACTTTAAGCCTTATCCTAACTCTTTTAATTCCATTTAACTCACAATTTGACAGCATTTCAGACTTCCTTTCAATCTCCCATCATTGTATGAAATTCAATGATGAATTTTTGACTTTCAATTGCAGCTTATATTTGAGACCTTCGTCTGAAACTTGTAACGATTTTGTGCATTGCCCTATGTGTAGTAAATACCAGAGGCTTTTTCCTCTTTCACTTGTATCAATTATTTCAAATTTGGTCGCAGAGGACATAGTTTAAATATTAGAAGGCCATAGACTTCAGCTGCGTGACGTAACGCCAACGAAAAAACTTTAAACTTTCATGCTTTAAAGTGCAGCGGATATCTCTGGCCTTTATTACATCGACATTGCAGGCGCATTTGTTTACCGTTAAATCATTGATACTAGTAAAACATACGTGGTTGAATAAAGCACTATTTTGGTATGAGAATGAGTGAACTCATGTAAAAAAGAAAATTGCTAGCGTAGACACCTTTCTTATAAAAAAGTTAGACTGTAACAAAGTTAGCTGACTACCCTATCAATGCTTTTACAACCTATTTCTACGTTGCAAAGGTGCAAAACGTTACATTACCTAGAAAAATATGTTACAACAATGAGCTTACTTCCCAAGTAAGAACAAATGCTGTGCCTTGAAAATTTTTGGTATCGGTCAGCTGTGTCCTTGGCTGAATTCCTGTAGACCTATAAAACCATCGGGCAAATTGATGCAATATCCTTAATTTTTAGACTTTATGGCGGATCATCTTTCGATAGTTTGTCATCTCTCCAGATTTTATTGATTGGATTAAACGTGGAAGTTTGGTAGGCGCAAGCAAGGGCTTATCACACCAGTCTCCTCGGAATGCCAGACAACCCTACCCGAGTGACCCCCCGTGACCCCTCCCTAGATCCGCCACTGAGAAAGACTAGCCTGTCGTGGAGCAGGTCTAGAGACTAGCCAGAGGCCAGGCCTTCATAATAAGCGCTGCAGGGCGCAGGTTTTTACGCCCACGGGAAGATTGAAAACGGTTCGTGGGAGTCGGGAAATATTTGCCGAGGATCTGTCGTCAGTGCTAGAACCCCTGCGGACCTCTCACCGGTTCGTCTTGCTCACGAAATCATATTTTCGAATAAACGAAGCGCTAATAACGATGGCCTGCTTCCATGCTAGAGAGAGAGGCGTAATAACGCGCCTCAGAATAATTCCACTCAAGGTTATTATTTGCCACCCACAGACTTCAGCTCTGAGCTTAAGTTATTTGGAAGCGATATTATTTCTTGTGGCTTATTCTTACACGAACTTCATCTAATATTTTTACCCTTGCTACATCTACGAATATCATTGTAGGTTGTATTTTCCAGAAACTGGATATATTTTGCCATTAAAAACCAAATGTAGCTTTATCAGAAGGATCTTGGTCAGAGCTGAACGTGGTTGTGATTTCCATTGGTCTTGGAAGACTCTCCCATCTGCAAGGAAGAGCAATTAACGTTAAAGTGCTACTGAGACCAAAAATGCACCTTTTCCTTTCTCCTCAGAGGCTGAAAGTACTTACCCTAAGTAACAGATTTGCCAAATCTTAAGGCAAAACTCCATCGAGAAGTAATATTATTTTCCCTGTAGATTCGCGATCTAAACGGCTGCCATTCTTCGAACTACAGAACTCCGCGAGAGAAGAAGAAACTGGGTCGAGAGCGGAAGTGACGTCAACGACTCAACAAACGTGGCTAATTTGGTATGCCGAGAGAGTTGTTTTTCTGGTTCCGCAGGAAAGAAGGAATAAAATTCGAAAGAATTGTTCCCCAGCTTTCTTTTGCGTATTTCTTGTAAAGGCATGCCTTCGCAACGTTGTCAAAGTGAGTCGATGACGTCACTACTAAAAACCGCTGTAGTTATTTTCGCGGGCTCTCCAGTGTGTTATTCGAGCAATGGCGGAAGAATTTTTAATGTCTTCGCGGCGCTGTTTTTAAGGAATAACTTTGTCAAATTTGAGAAACCTACGCTGATGCTTATAGTTTAGGGTCTGAATGTGAAGTTAACACCAGAAAATTGGGAAAATAAAATGCAATAATTTCATCGCAGTAGCACTTTAACTACAGCGTCCTTGATGTATTTATCACCAGCTATTTTCCAAAGAATGAAATTGTTTGTTACGAGGACTTGTTTTATACTGAACTCGGCATTTTAGGCAGCGTTTCTTCGATTTGAGTTTATGCAGAGCAGGTGATCGCTGTATTTGGTATTCTTGAAATGTGTTTCACAATTATCCTGATTCAGATCTATAACATCTACATTTTAAACAGAATATTATATTACATGCTCGCTACTGAATTCGAATTTATCTTGTCATAGTAACATTATTTCTCATGAGTTCGTGATGCAAACGTTTGAGAGCTATCATGAACATGCGAAAATAAAATTAGCCCTGGCGTGGCCACGGGATACCCTCTATTTTAGACGAGTAAAATCAAGAAGTTGACCCACAATCTACACTCACCAATTACATAGACACACTGCGCTATTTAACCTCTGACAGCTCATCGTCATTTTACCTGTAAATGGCCCTCGTCTGACTTCTGATGCCGTTCTCGATCTTTTCTTTGTTTATTTGTTTTTAAGATGTTCCTTATTTCGCTCAACATATCAGACACCTGGTCCCTTACTATTGCCATGGCACCGAGATGATCAGGAATTACATTTTCTGAAGGGGTTTTCTGGTGTCTTCTTCTAGCCCAGTAACGTCTGATAAGCTCTCGGACAACACTCTTAAAAATGCAAAACATGTTGGAATTCAGCTAGTCTAGGATGTTTTTCTCTCTTCTTTGATTCGACCGAAATAAATACGTTTACCCTTTTTACCCTAACACCAGTACAGATATTCGCCGTACCGTTCTTTATACATACATGCATACATACATACATACATACATACATGCATGCATACATACTTACATACATACATACATACATACATACACTTTATTGAGCATCCCTGAAAAGGGCTTTTCAGCATCAATATTAAAAACAGTAAAACTAAATAGCTTAATTACTATATACTTTCATATTGCTTATATATTACTTAATTACTATATGCAAACAACAATTATCATCAAAAATCGTTCATGTTACAAATCAGTTCATTAATTAAATGTCTCTTAAAGACCTTAGTACTCGTGATTTCCCTTAAATCTTTACTTAAATTATTCCATACTTTTACACCACGATAATAAAAGACGCGTTGGTAAGGTGCTGACAGGGAAGATTTATTCAACAATCAAGAACCTGTTTAGTTGATGAATATTACCCATGTTCTCATGACCTTTAATTGTGATACTTAGTTCTAATTAACCGAGCGGGAGGTCTGTATGAGAGAATCTTGACCGAGGTCGCTAGTACAGACCGAAATCAGTGAGGTCTGTACCAGCGACCGAGGTCAAGATTCTCCCATACAGACCGACTTAGCTCGGTTAATAGGATGTTTATCATGATTACATGGCTGTGTCTTATATGCCAATTTTTTATATTATTTGTACCTTTTTTTTTCTAGACCGGTCTAAATGCCGGTCCAGATAGGAAAATCTAGACCGCTTTCAATATTGATTTCAGCCAATCAAATTCGTGAATTCGGTAGTTCCCAGTCCTTCTGAGACACAGCCATATAATAATGGGGGTTAACGGCCTTACTCACTTTCAAGAAATAACCCGAATCCCTACATGCTGACTACCTAAGAATGCCTCTCGTGCACCATTAGTTCTCAGAATTTACTGTTTTGCCGTTTCTACTCTACCTATCCATGTTACGGAAAGTTAATTAAAATACACTCCGTTTCCTATATCCCTCACTCTGGTTTATCTTCCCACGATTACTTTCAAGCATACTTTATCGTATTTCAAGCATACTAAAAAGTAAAAATCGGGGGCTCTTACTTTACCGTACTTTCTCAAGATACTTTTTGTGCATGCGGACTCAAATACTACGTAAGGGAGGTTTTTATTTTGTTTTTAAAGAACACATCGTCAAAATATGTCTCATGGATTTTTTTATGTGGTGGGTACCTGATAGTTCTGTTTCTTCTGTTCGACATCCATGTTACTTTCATGGTAAACACGAAATTGTTCCTGTGTGAGTAAAAAACAAAAATATTAATAAATAAACAAATAGGTAAAGAAATGATTAGATAACTACCCTGTTTCATTGAGTTGTAAGATGATGTGGGAGCTCTGATGAATATTTCACTTTGCTTTTGCTCTCGTCGCCCTGTGATTGTTCCAGGAAAACTTCGTACCATCCTTCCAGCCAATGAGACACAAACAAATACCTCACGTGGCTTGGTCAGCTACGTTTCCCCACATGCGCTTTTTTAAAGTTTCCCTGTTTTTTCTATGAGCTCCCATTGGCTAATAATGGTATTATTCTTTGTTTTGATTGGCTGTAATTTAGTTTCGATTTTTTTGATAGTCAATCGAAAACTGCTATTTTGCAGTGAGCCACCTTGAGTTAAGCCTAAACTTATATAGCTAAGCTGCCATTAATCAAACGTCTAAGTATAGCCACTATGCTGGCAGTACCTCAGTTAATGACTGTAATAAAATTAATACTTACATTAGTACAACAAGGCAGTCTCTTGGGAACTCCAAAACATCTGTTTGTTAGTTTACAAGCCCATCGCACGATACTCTTTGGAGAAGGAATGAGATTCAGGGGGGGAGGGAGAGTAGCAACTCCGTCTCCGATGTAATCTGCCCATAGTTGGGCGCGAGCGAACTTATATTCTGTTTCGATATTGTCCTAAGAATATTTGAAATTTAACACTGTGTCAGAACGTAACATTTTATATTGATATTTTGTACCTCGATCCATTCTTTACTATAGAGGTTTGATTTATTCAGCAGTACGTAGAGATTTATTGTCTTTCTCTTCACGAAAAAGGAGAGAGAAGTCTGAGTTTGAGATTGATTAGCTCCAAACAATGGCGTGTTGATATGCACAAGAAAGGTATTCCTAAATGGAATGACAACGGATCTGAAAATAACAGTATTGAATATTTTGGATGCAAATCGTGACTTTTATGAGCAGGTGAAAACTGAGCGTGCACGTCTAGCATTTTTAAAGATTTCCTTCGGAAGACAGCTATTTCCGTCATCCATTGAGAAAGTTTATTTTAGAGGCAGTTGTTTTGCAAGATGATAAATAATTTGTTTGCAATTGACGTTTTCATGCTACACAGAACGATGAGATTTGACAAGGAATTTCATGTAATGATATAATCGATTGTTTAAATTGTAATCTTTTGTTTGAAAAAAAAACACATCAGATTAATGAAGGTAAACAAAGACTTTCCAACGATCCCAACAAATTCCAACTGTCTTCCGAGTAACCCACGTGAGAACACATTCTAGTTTTAGGCATCGTACTAACAACAACAGAGTTGAATAACGTATGCGCACGCGCAAGGTTTTGGCCTCGAAACACGGATTTTAAGTCGTTCGCATGGTTGACTTTCTATTCTGTTGCTTAGAGGCGTTGTTTTCCTCGTTGGTTTCCTTTTGCAGAACAACTTCTAAAACTTTTACACCCTCTAAATATTTTCGAAAATTAATTTTCTGCTAAAAATCTATGGAAATAGGAAAATGCCTTCCACCACAACAAAATGTCTCTGTTTTAAATGCCAGCTTCTTATCACCTTCGCAAATCTCGCACCCTTGAGCCCATGTTGTTGACCGCATACCTTTGACGTTATTCAGCTCTGTCACCAACAACAATTTAAATACCTCTACGCGTTGATATGAGTTACTCATCATTGCAATCAACATGTTTAAGAGAACAATCAGTGAAGCTGCATGGTACAGCGTAAACAAGATGGCGCTCCAAATCTGAATCAAGCTTTGATCTTTGAACACCTGAAGACTGTCGAGTGTTACCATGTCCAGACTCGCCCACATCATAGTCACCATGGTCGTCATTAGACTGAAAGATAAACAATACACATATTGCATGGCTGAAAAGGCAGAGTAAAGGCTGTTCTTTCAACGTTGACTCAGGCAGGTCTCTGTCCAGGACCTCTCAACCCAGATTCTTAGCTATTAGGAAACCACGTATTCCATTTACACTTAAAGAGAAGTAATGATAAACTGCTGTTCTAAGCCCATTCCTCCTGGTCATATAGAATATACGATCATGTCACTTTCTAAAGGGAAGTAGATGATGTGGCGGTGTTTAAGAATTTGGTTTCCATTTCTGGTACAGTGGTTATAAAAATATTTGTCATGACTGAAATCATCCGCCTTCCATTTCCACTCATTGTGCAAAAAAAAAAAAAAGAAACTGATTTTCATGCAATAAACTTTCAAAACTTTTGCTTGTTTCCTATATAAAACAAGTAAATTCCATGAAGTCATGCGCTGTTCTCAAATAGATTACACGGAGAAGTCGAAATGTGTTCACAATCGACCCAATTTCCTTGTTACTACCAGATTTTTTGACATCAAACCCAAACGATTTGCTTACCTGTAATATCCTTTGCTTATCAGACTGTGTATTACATCTGTAGTGTTTCTCTCTGGCCTCTCTTGGCCGTACGCTTCAAACGATGACGAATATAACATGGTCATACTGACAGAAAACGATATCAACATCACCACACTGATGAATGCGAATTGAAATATCACCCGCACCATACGACTTAGGCTGAGCTGGAGAAGTCCTAGGTACCGGCTGATTTGACACAGGTACACCAGCCGAAAAAAACTTGCAATCACACCAAGAGCGTACAAACCGTCCGCGCCGCTCAAGAGTAATTGGTCTGCTTCGCGGTCCAAGACGGTGTAACGCCTAATAATCATTCGCACAAACCATCCTATGTAGGCTCCAAGAATTAAAACAATCATGCCGATATCCATCCAATTCCATCCACTAGACAGGTATCTTAGGACCCCATCGTGCCACACCTGTTTGCACTCTCCCCATGCTATTCCGAGAATCCACATGAGGATGATCCACTCCAGTGCAGATGGTACTTTATCAAAGCGTATGTTAAATTGTTCGTGAGAAGATGCCGCAAGAAGCGAGAGAAATATCACAAACGAAGCAGTGTGATTGACGAACTTAATAAAGGGTCTTTTGATTTTACGGCTTATTCTTAAGAACGGAAAGAAGAAGTACATAAAAGCCATCAGTGGATAAATCAACACTTGAAAGAGAACGTAGAGTATTCTAAAAGCGATGCCTTGAGTCCGCCACGGAACACCGCTGAACACACAGCTCATAACAAGATGCTGACAGAACGGATGTGCTACAAACTGGAAATAACATCGTGAAAAGTGTTAAATCAAGCAGATTAAGATTCCAGATTCTAGACATAGTATTATTCATTGGGGAAAAGTTGGTCCTCCCCGCCCTGGGCAGCTCCTGGGAGTAGCAATAGTTTGGACGATGTCTTTTCAGAAGAGAGTGACTCGAATGCCTCAAACTTATATGACAGCAATGGGGATAATTCAGAACCTTTAGGGGAGTCTGGGCCCCGCCCTTATCAATATAAGCCGCGTAGGGTTCACCGGAACGATCCGCACGAAGGCAGCACAAAACCGGTTGACAGCGATACCGGGTGTCTCGGAAACACAGACTGGTATTTAATCCATTCTGTGATTTATTTTCATTTGGCATGAAAACCTAATAAAGTAAGTTGAAAATCTTACCGGGATCAGCAACTATTTTAAGGCCCATTTCCTCCATGTAGCTTTTCTCAAAACAGTCGGGTGAAAAATAACTGCTTCAAACAACAGAATGTTTGGACGGCTCGACAAAATTGGCTCTTTTCACTTGAACAAATTTAACCCTTTGTCGCTTTAAACATGGTTCTTTTAGAAATTTATGCTTTGTGTAACCGGGTTTGTTTGAATTACTACAAAACTGGAAGACACAACGCTTTACCATTATGAAAAAATTGAATATATTCAACCAAATTGTAAGCACAAAAATCGTGACGAGACCAGTAAACAAGGGATGCGGAGGAGACTTAAAGGTATCTCATGCGCTTTTAGACCTCCAGTACCGGAAGGTTCCACCCGTGACGTTACAGGAAAGATGGCGCAATTCAAGATGGCGAATGTTTCGAATTCGGAAGAGCTTTTACATGGTGAAAATGGACTTTTCAGAAAAAACCAATTGCACCTTTGGTGTACTTGATATATTTGCTAAACAGCCATGCGAAAAGAAAATGTACGACTTTTGGGTTTACATGCCTTTAATATTAATACAGGGTACGGGTAACCGCCTCATATGGCGCCTCTTTCGAATGTAACTATATGTTCCGTGATAGAAAGCATATACTGATAATGTTGTACCAGCCATTCTTTCCAGCAGAAAAAGTCCAACCATTTACCAGTTACACCAGTCATAACCCTCCAGAGAACGCCTGATAGCACAGAAAAATAAATCCCAAAAATACTTTGGGTAATTTTTACTGAAATTAAAGTAAACAACAGATTATAAACGCAAGGGCTTTATCAGTCATTTTTTCTCAACGGAGGTTTAACATATGCTTATCAGAACGAATTGGACGACGACGTTTGACAGGCGCCTGGCTGATGTTATCTCATGGAAATGAGTGGTTACCGGTACAATCAGTGGGACATCACGAATACAAATGAACGACTTGGCAGGAGTAGAAAGTAATTTAAGAACTGGCTGACAAATTGAGGGTATTATTTGAAGTTTGGTCGAAGCTACTGATAACACAGATCGTGGTGTTCGACTGATGAACTTTACCGGCCAAATTGGAAGAAACCATCATATTATTGCATAACTTTTTTTCTTACGATATCAAAATTTAGCAGCAGCAAAAATGATTCATGGAAATGAAACTTCCTGTAAATTTGTCACGTTTATGGTAATAAAAAGCCTGATTAGCTTTCGTTAACTACTGACTGTACATTGCGAGACTATACAAGCTAGCCTGCATAAAATACCGGATTGTAAGTAAAAACTGACGGACTGTTTCCTTTTTTTTCCTGAGGCAGTTTAATTTGGCTTCTATTGTTAGAGTGCCACTCATTATATACATGCTTTTATTGTGTCAGCAGATGTCTTTGTGGGGTTGATTTAGCAAACCCGACACTGAGCGACGTCGCTGGCCAGTTTATTTTGTCTGTTTGTTGCAAATGCAGAAAATGATCAAGACAACTTATTTAAGACTCGATCAAATTCCGAAATAAATCAAGAGAAAAAAGAGGCGGCATTATTTCATATCTTGTTTGATAAAAGCGATCAAGGGCTTTTTCAAATTTTTATTTTGAAAAGCAAGCAGCAGACTGAGTAAACGGTGTTCTTATGAATAAGTAAAAGGAGAATTTTCTGTCAAATTGGCAGGGAAATTACAATTCATTTATAAAAAAGCTTCCGTTATAAAACGCAAATTTTTCATAGAAATGAACGATTTAAAGCGCAGTTTGGGTAATTCAGAAAGCTCAATGGGATTCTATTTCGATGGTTATGGGTCCCAGCACTCGATTTAGTACGTGCAAGAGCGAAAAAGCAGTCCTAGCATTCAGAAGAAAGGGTGGAAAAGGATAAGCCATGTGTTTTTGTACAATTTTAACACCTCTGACTAGTTAACGCTAAATTCGAATAATCTCACATCAAAATAAATTTATCAAAATGGATATTACCCTTTTTAGATAAAGAAACAAACACGCTGAATTCGAGATTCTGGTGAAAACAATCTTGAGACGATCTTAACATACAAAGAAAACCGTAGGTTAATATTTGTAAAACATACTTATATTCCTTTCAAGCGGCACAGAAGCAACATTTGAAACCTGTTTACCAAAGAGAACATAAATATTAATGGTTTCCATGATTATTGTTCGCCCGTTTCATAATTTTTTCCTAACGCTTTTGCGGTCACTCCGTTTCCGCTGCGACGAATATCCTCGCATCGTTGCAAAGCTTCAGCTGTTATTAGCACGTTCGGTTCACTAAAAAGGCAGTTACAAAGCCACAAGCAAGAAATTCTCATTTTCCTTTGAAAAGAAAGATGTATTGTGCGTTAATACAGAACAGAAAAATATTTTACAATTATTCGTCTCTCGACTCTTTTCAATTTCTTTGGCGTGTACAATCAATTTAGTCGACTCTTTCAATGGCGGGCAGCTGCTCCTTGCCTTGTGATTGATAACAAACCGCTTCACTGGTTCGATTTTACGGGCCGTATGCGTAATTTTAAATAGGAATATATAGATTGAAACCAGATTTGTCTCGGCTTAATCCCACTTCCATCAACAAAACCTCAAGTTACTCTTAAAGGCTGACTTGAATTTGAATGTTGTATAAGTTTTGAGGCATATGCCGAAAAGCATTTACTAAATACTAATTTAGGTTAACACTTAACTTGCGCTGTACAAATACTCCTAATTTTCTACCCTGAAACCTTTTTTTTCGGCGAGACAGTATTTGCGTGTATTTTACTTCTTTATCTCTTACGACAGAAATTGCTGTCTTGGCAATTTCAACGAATTCAAATGAATCTTCTCGCCAAGAAAATGTAACGGGAATCGGCTCTAGGTGTTTTTATTTTGTTCAATAACTTTTTGTTTTCCTGCTGTTCCAAGCTGCCAGTGAATGCACGAAACATTTCCAAAAGAATTAAAATTAAACATTTTTTTTCCAGTTTCCCATACTCAATAAGAAATGGCGTTTAAGGGAAGGTTTCACTAAGGTAAGAGGTATGAGAAAAATGTCAAACAAATTTAAAGAGAAAAATCGTTTTTCTGTTCAATTTGTCAAGATTCGTTTGACTTTTGCCAAGAACAGAACTAGCAATTGCTGTATGCAAATTCACTCTTGAGAAAATTGCCTCGCATGTCAAGATCTAAGACTTTTACCATTTCTCCGACTACTACATTGTAAACCAAAGTTGCATTCAGCATAAAAAAAAATCAAATCAAAACTTGCATTGGTGTTGGAAATATACTGTTTTGCCCTTTGATAGAGCGATGTCATAGGCCTACCTTCTGGTAACTGATCTGACATCGCCAAACAGGCGTTGTAAATATTCGATTTTGTTGAAATAAAGACATGGCTTCGTCAGTCTTCACCATAAAGTACTTGTTTCATAAATACTCATTCATGGGTAATTTTATTCCATCAATACTGCAATTCTTACCTCTTTTTGACCGTATGCAATTGCACTATGAACTAAACCCAACGATTCTTCGCAGAATTCTCCTTTCGAGGCCTCACTCCCGGGGAAGTTTAAAACGGTGGTCTGTTCCTTAGATGTTTTACATTCGTCCAACAGTCCTAAGGCAAATTGGCCACATTGAAGCGACAATGCAAGATAATCTTTTTCAAACTCGTCCTCTTGCTTGGCGGATGATTTCAAATCCTTGCTCAGTTTGAAAGCGGTTAGAAACGGGTCTGTTCCCGTTAAAGAGATCCATATTGGATTCGCCATAGCTCTGTAAATATCTAGTCGTTTTTGTGACTGCCTGAAATAATCCTCTTGACAGTGTTCACACTCGCAGAGTACATCGTGAGGTTTTTCCAAATTAAAACCTTTAGAAATAAACAATTTCAAAACATCATAGTTTCCTAAGTGCGCGGCTACTACAAGCGGCAGAAAATTTACTGGCGTTTTTCTGGATTGCGTCGCTTCAGATGACACGGAATTATCGTATAATTCTTCCAAATTAAACAACTGTAGATAATGATCAATAAGGACCTCGACAACTTCGAGGTTTTCCTCTTGAACTGCTCTTAACAACGATTCTTCCAATTTACTTTCATGGTTCACCATAAAGCCATTCGTTTCTTTCGCGGGTTCGTTGACTTTATGTAATAGCGATCTAAAGCTCGGAAGATTCTGTTCAGGCGCCGTCATCGTTTTTACTTCAAGTTCGACCATTGGAACGCCTTCGAAAAACGCTTCCTGGCCTTCAATCGGTGGATCAGTGAGCCACAAAGGGCGAACAAATCCATCGCTACTGTTTTCATTCATGGCTGAGTGCGACGCTCAATGCATCCGAGATGTACCATTTCACGGTGCTTCCATCCGCTCACCGACTGACAACGTCATCAACCACACAACGCAGGTGACTGTGTATGCAATCGTATCGCACGGCAGTAATCGGAATCAAGTAAGCGCCGTTTTTGTTTCGGCTATTTTTGCTTTTTCCTTACAGCAACGTCAGTGAAAGTGAAGTAAATTATGAATATGAAATATGAAATTATGAAGGTATTGACATCCGATCGTGGGTGATTGTTCCATCAAGTGCCCAGCAGACGAATATTAATACTTGAAGCGTGAGTTTATAAAAACATTTAGATCAAAATCCTGTTTGGCAACAGATTAGTAATCGACGGTGTTTACGGTACATTAATTTGCTGCATTCTTAATAAGGAATAATACACTCTCATTGGTTGAGAATGAACTTAAATGGCTTCTTGTCAATTCCTGAAATAATTACGTTATATTTCTTTCCCACACAGATATGTCATAATGTTGAAGCGGCGTCGACCCTTTGAATTCCTTTCACGATTAAGGGGTAATTATCAAAGAAATGAGCGTAATAAATTTTCTGAAATATTTTTCTTTCACTCACAAGTTCCCAGACTGCGTGAGGCAATCGGAATTTAAAAGATCAAACGACCAGAAAAATTATTCAAGCCTTGTTATAGTGTCTGTAACGTATGGCTACCGCAGGTGCAGCAGTCATCTTAACTTGAAGGGATCAATCATGATCAGATCCGGTCAATCTTACATCGATATCAAATTTTTTTTGATCCGTGCTTGAGTCGAAAAGAGGATGTGTTATCTTTAACTTCTGCGGGGCAAGGTGGAAAAGACTTGATGGCTCCAAAATTTGACAAACCTTCGTCTTACGGCGCAGATATTGGCTTCCAACTGATGCTTTACAATACGTCATCTTGGATTGCAAGAAAAGTTTATTCTATAGAAGGCAAACATTGTCCATATTGAACAAATATAAACCGAGTGGCCGCGTGATTAATTTAGTTATGCCAAACCTAATTTCGCGTCTTTTTATCGAGATCCAAATTAGTATCAGAAACATTTTTAACCCCGGCCTGAAAAATAAGAAATGAATACAGCGCCTGAAGTACGTTTTTTTCTGTAAGTTTCAATTTTAAAAGAAAATTAATTACGAAAAAAAATCTTGAATTACATCATTTATACAGACACCAAGTTCGAAATACTTGTCAATGAATAGTGAGTGCTTCACAAACACTTTTCTTTTTGTTTTTTTTCCTGTAGGAGTTGTGAAGGATGTAATTTGAATCTCAAATATCGCTCGATTGACTTTAAAAGGAGACATGTGCATCAATGCCTTATTGCTTGTAGTACATCGAAGTATCTTGTCAAAATATTTTACTTTTGATTCCTGAAGTGCCTTGTGGGTTGTAATACTACGCTATTTTGGGAAATCTTGAACGATGCCAAGAATCCATTTTGATTTTCATTTCCTTGCGAAGGATCTCTCGTGGGCTGGAATACTCTGCTATTTTAAGAAATCTTGAGAAATGCCTGCCAAGTATGTGTGAGGGTACAAATAGCGTTAATAATAGCTTTTGTTTGGTAAACCCACGACGGTGACGGCAAAGAGGAAGTGACGAAACAAAACATGTAATGGAAAGGACAATAGCTTAGCACGTGCCTTTTAAAACTTTGTACATTTCTTAGCCGTCCTCTCCAAAACAACAGCGTGAAATCGCCAAAAGTTGCGTGGCCTAAGAAAAGAAACCCAGACGGAAAATTCTCTAGTTCCATTTCGAAATCAATGCTGCTCCCATACGTTATGCTGAAGTTGAGGTATAGCGCTCTAAAGAGACGATAAACACTTCCAGGCAATCGCAGAATTCTTGTTCAAGAAATAAATTCATATTCAAATCAACGTCTTTCTCGACGTGGCCTTCCTGACTACTTAAAGGTCCCTAATAGAAAGGCGCTGAAGCTGCAGAAACAGAAGAGACTGAACTGCGCATGCTTCATACTACCACATAGCAACTAACTACGTGACATAGAAGCACGTAGCTTCTCTAGCTGCTTTTTCTAATATACGGTGGGATTTCATTGATGGTTTTTCCGCTAACTACTGCAAGAGGTTTCGATTACTAAGTGGATAAAAAAATCTCCTGTTTACCATCAGAGAAATCAACTGCTCTCAGATGTTCTCTTGTTACTTGGGAAGTTTCAGTCTCGCATGTAAATCAACAAACGTTAATTGGTCATAGTTTGCAGCTTCATCCACAAACCCAACAGCTGAATAAGTGAATAAATGATAAATGATAAAGGATAAATGAAACGCTAAAAAAAACAATGACGACAAAAAGGCACGTTTTGAAATACGGTCCAGGTAACTGGTCATTATTCTTCGCCTGAGGGGGAAGGGGGAATCGGATAATTATGGTTGAGTCACAACAAAATCTACCAGATTCCTCCCTGAGGCTTTGTAGCATTCTCATGATCACCCCTCATCGACAGTTAATTTCCTTTCGTCCTCCCTTGCATGCTATGGTTCGGGCGACTGTTTCTCCCTCCGTTTCCCCTGAAACCATCTGATAATTTATATCCTTCGGCTCTAAAGATTCGTTTCTTCCCGTATCACCTCACTCAAAAAATAAATTTCAAACGTCGGAGAACATGACTACCACAATATGTTCTTCTATTTCTCATAACATCATGATTACTGTACTAAAGATTTTTTCTTCTGTGAATACGTTATAGCTGTGATGTCTTTAAAGTCTGTCTGGCCCGCATATTATATTTTCTATTGGGATTTATCTCGGATAATCTCCTCAATTTACAACTGCTTTGCTCACATACAACATTTTTAGTCTTTCGTCAAAAACGAGTAGCATGTAGCATATTTTTTTAACATGGTGAGTTAATCTTGCAATTCATGCAATTTCAGGTTATGCGAAAACACCATCTGAATTTTTTATCGGTTGAGGAGGAACAAAGTAAAAGCCTTAACATCTTATACATCATTGCTTGTCATTAGGCCGGACATTTCATTGTAAGTCCAACTGTCCAAAAACAATATTAAAAAGTGCTGTCGAATGTTCATCATCGAAGCTAAGCGTCTGGGAGAATTTTTTCAAAACCGAGCAATATTTAAGGATGACTCAGATTAAATTTCATATCGACATAACTAGGGGCTCGCTAAATAAAACAAAATTTGCGGCTTTAGGGCTAAAAGCTGTTTAAAACCCCCTTTTGCAATGTTCTAGAGTGTACGCCGAGGGCTATTTTTAGAGAAAAAAACTTTATCCAGAGAAAACCTTTTATTTTAAATATGAATCTCAAATAAGATCCATTAGATACGCCTATCTGGTACTAAATGGCTCCACTTACAGTACTTACTTTCCAAATTGTGGTTTTGCAAAAATAAAACTCTATAAAAGCAACTTGTACACTGACGTATTTATCGACCAATTTGTAGTTTCCAACGTCATCTTCAAATTACATGTCATGATTTAAAAATGCCTCGCCAAAAATGAGAATTCTTTTTGACATTTCATTTGATGGGTTAACCTACATAATGCACTAAGTACGTCAAGATTGTCAGCTTAGTTACCAAGTGTTCGCCTTTTTTGTCCAGACGTTCAGTGATGGTTTGTGATAGATCAGCATTCATGGAAAAGTTTTAATTAAACTCTGTCTGTAACAGTTGTCAAATTGTGTCAAGAAAAAAGAATAGACGACAAGCTGTCCCTCCTTTTCGGCGAAAAAAATTGTTCTAGCGCCGCGCGGAGCTCTGGCCGGAGTGGGGTGCGCAAAATTAGGCAACTCGTACACCACTCCCAGAGTTCCGTTCTCTTGCGGCGACGTGAACGGTGTGATTTTTTCGCCAAAACGCTGGAGTTTCACATGTCAACCTCGTTCTCAAGTTGGTTATGAACAGATATGTCTGATATTGTTTCTCCCTTCAATGAAAGTATTTGCACGTGCTGATAGGAATTCATCTTAGGACTTCTAGAGGACATATATCTTGTAAACTTTTATAAATGTTAGCTATAGAGTAGACAGGCCTGCCACAACTCTCAGGTTTCATCACGGTTGTAATTTTGAGCCTGAGGTTGTTTGAATTTGAAGGCTGGAAAGTTTTTAACGGAAAACTAAATTGAACAGAGGTACAAGGGAAGTCAACCTTGTTCACGGAGGGTTCTAAGAGGGAGGGGACCCTAAAGAGAAAACTATTCCCTTTTCTCCTTTTTTTCTTCAATTGTTTGTAGGTAAGCCAAAATGCTGGCGTAACGGATATGCGATCTCAGGTGACGAGCTAAAAATCCCATGTAGAAGAGAGTCTCAATGAGATTAACCGGGGTTAAACTTTAGCCGTTATGCGTAAGAATTGCCAAATTTTAACAAATAGCCGTAAAAAAAAAACCACCCTAAAAAAAATTCCGGTGACAATATTTACCGCTAGCCGTAAAAGCCACCCCTTTGAGACCCTGGAGGAGATGAAAATGAGCCAGCGATACACACGGTTTGGCGAGAGTACGACATAATCCTGCTAGAAAAACATGGTAAATTGATAAATCTCATCAAATCCGGCTGAGAAGCCTGCAAAAATCCTCCCCACGGATACGTGCACCCTCAAACTGGCACGTTGCCTGCGTGCGGACGTCTCCTATTTGCTTGGAGACGTCTGCACTCAGGCAAACTGGCACGATAATCGAATAATGTAACTCAATCCTGCCAAAGGTCACGTCCGGATCCCGTTTGAGTCAGATCGCGACGTAAAACCCGCCGTGAAACCAGCCAAGCGACTATTTAAGCTATGTGGAAAGTAAAAAAGATTTCCCTTAATTTAATTAATTTCTGCTTTGCAGAAGACTGATTAGACGCTGTGTATGGAACAAAGTATAAGCTAAGGGATAATGTCGTGGTTTCACTAAGGGGATTTGGAGATTCCGACGACGCACCCCTTGCCCACGCAATCACACCTTACAGACCACGGCTTCCGCTGCAGGAAGGCTGGATTCACGTGCGGTTTTCCATAAACGATCATTATTGTGTTTTCGACGGCATCGTTAAAACCTTTTTTTTTTTGGTGTCTCTATCCCGTGTTTAGCTGTTATGCATCTTGGCTATCTTTTCTTCCTTGTTATTCACTGGTTTTCTGCCGAAAATCGAGCCGAAGCGGATAGAGTTAGAGTAAACCGACTTTTAAACGGCGTGGATGAATTTGAAGTCTTGAACGATGACGGGAATGGTCTCTGTGCGGAGTCAAAGAAAGTGGAGGAGTTTTGTGTTAAACGTGATGCGATCAGCGTTCAGAATACCATATCATGTGAGGATTTTAAGAAGAAAGTTCATTGCCGTTGTGTTTCTTCAAAATCAACCTTTCTTCTGCACAAGGGAAAATGTGTGAATAACAGGAATGTCACGCGGTATTTACATGGAGGGTCGAATCCAGGTAGGCAACTACGAAACTTAGTTGTACCAATATTCCAGTACGTCGCCTATGACGGCCCTAATTGAGCTTTTACTTCAGTAGTTTTGTTTCTTTTCTTTATGATTTTGAACGATTTGCCACTAAATCACCATTAACCAAAACAATAGAGAAGAGGCGAACCCACAAATCTAGCTATGATTCGATGACGCGATTTCCGGTCAATGTGTTACTTTGTCACGGCTATATTTACTACTTTCGAAAGAACTCAGCTAAATAGATAGGGCATAATTTTACCCTGCCTTCAAATATAACGATATTGCCGAGATTTCAACCACATACCTTTAAAACGACAACCCAATAAGAGGGTCAAATCTCGTTAGTTTCGAAGCTGAGAGGAATGAAAGTAAAACAGCGAAATACCGTGAAATTGCATAATAACTGTTCAGGATATTAAGTGACACTCCTCAATGTAGGGTTAATTCACGGCCTTCTTTCATCGTTCCACCTGCTTAAGAAATTCCTCAAAAGGAGCTACAGTATTATGTATATTTTTGCGCATACTGCGGCTAGCTAAATAACACCGGATAAAAACAGTTTTTGGATCAACCGTATACCTTCATGTTTACTCATATCATTGTCAACAAAAACATGTTGAGTTTTGTTATACTGGGAAATACAGCATCGGTTCTTCTCTATAAAGAAAATTATAGAACTTGGCAACATCGTGGAACAACATCAAAAACGGAAATCCTCCCCACTATGTGTGCTGTCCAACAATTTTTTAAGTTTAGTCTCAACCTCACTTTAGGGGGTGGCCGAGGGAGGTTTGACACGTCCCAAACCCCCTCCCTGGCAACTTTCGCGCTTCATTTTCCTAACTGAAGACCTGCAACGGGCTATTCAGGGGGAGATAAGATGACACATGTTGCGTTTCTTTTTGTAGTTTGCAGGTTTCATTTAAACGATGGGAATGTTCATCACCTTCTCAACTGTCAAGAGTCGTCCATCTCCACGTTATCCACCAACATCTCTAACGCCAGAAGTTACTCGTTATGTACATCAGATCTCACCATAGAGCTCTACAACTGTAAAATCAACCCCAGGACCATGTCTTACAGTGAGGCCGGGCGATGGAGGGATCTGTGGAGGCTGGATCCAAGAGGAGACTCAGCTAGTACACAGGATAACACTTTATCTTTGGAAAAAGTTTTTCATAAGGTAGGTAACTAATTTAGAACCCAGACCTCGTTGAGATCAGAACGGGTAACTTTGGCATGGTGTGTACTTTTTCCTGTTGCCTACATACGGTCACAAATTCGCATCAGTTATTTTCAAACGGGGCAAAAACTAACAATTTAGGGTTCTGTTGGACAGACAACCCTTCCTATTACAGGCACTCTTCAATAATTAGGAAAGCAAACCCGGGATGAGGGAGAAGGCTTGCATAAGTTTACACCAGGCCTTTTCATTATTCGTCAAGACTTGAACACTTGTGGTTGACAAGAGACCAACTTGAAGTCTCTGGGGATAATAGATTGCAAGGCATCATAGGAAGGCGCATAAATTGTTTGCAGTACAAAAAAGAACACTTGATGAGTCAAACACGAGTACCAATATCTTTCTCTATTATTTTATATTTTTGGTAATTCATTTCCTTTTTTCAGACGATTATCAATGTGACTAACATTGCTTCTTAATATAAATGTGGATCCTCTTCATCTAATTTCACAGCTGATGTCTAACGTCTCAAGATACAGCGGATTCATTCTGTCATTTCAAGCAACTTGCCAGACCAGGTCGAGTTTTCGACTGAGAGGCATTCCTCCTTCTGACCCAATCCGCTCCTGCGTACTCTTAAAAGTCAGCGGTTCTCGCATATGTAAGTACGCACTTTATGATAGAGCAATTTAAGTTCTAAAGGTAAACATCATCATTAACCAATGGGAACTCGCGGTAAAAACAGGAACCAACCTAAAGCGCGGGAAAATGCAAGTGGCTAAGTTGGGATTGGTTTCAGATTTGCATTTGGTTGGTTAAGAAAGTGGCGCCAGTTTTCTAAACCAATCAAAGAGAGAAGAAAAGCAAAAACACAGCAAACCGATATCTCTTTCCGATACTAATTCTATAACGCTTTATGATTGGTCCAGAAACCACGCTCCACACTCTTAACCAATCTGATGCAAAACCAAGGCAAATTATGAGGAGACTGGTGGTAGTGGCAAGGAAAATAAAAACTTGTCGAGACAGCATGTTCTCGAAGTAGTTGCCCCCTCCTCCAAAAGATCTCCGCTTGCACCAAGCTCTTTGGCAATTTGTTTACTCTCTCCACTGACAACCATTGAAGTCATTCCTCGACAATTGTCCCTATCCGTTGCGGTGTTTGTAATTACGTAATACCATGGTACCTGTCGTGCTTTTTCTTTGCACGTGGTGAAGCGCTTGTGAAAGGAAATGTGCTCAAACTGTGATTTCTCGCCGCTTTAATACTGCTTCGTCCCAATCGTTTGGTTATTACGGCTTGCCAGCTTGTAATCCCTGGTTTAATTTTGTTATGCTGAAGTACAAGTAAACTCGTTGAGTTCGTTGAAAGACTGGTTTCTCTTGTTGTTACGTGCGCTTTATATATCTGCTCCGGACGAGAGCAAAGCCCCCCTTAGCTGAACCTAGCTTTGTTAGCTATCAAACTGAGACATTAATTATCCTCTCGGGGTTTCCACTCTCAAGAAGATGCAAAGAGTTCTAGATTGTGTGCTTTAAAGCGTTTATCTTTCTACCCTACAGGGCCGCTGCAAAAACATCAAATGAACTTTACTCCATCGAAAGAAATCACGAGGAAGTTAAATATTACGATAATTAAAAAAGCTGAAACAGAAGAAAGTCCTACAAGTCAGACTTCAGCCACAGACCTCATCACCGCGGAAACTAAAATGAACTCGGTCGATGATTCACCCTATCTGCGGTATATAATCTTGTTATGTGCCGGGGTCGTCAGCCTTATCGTAGTTCTTCTGTGTCTAACTGGATTTGTGTTCTACGGTAGATCGAATCGCCGGTAGGTTTCAACTCAATTCTAAATGCAATTAGAGTGTTATTTACGAGACAATGATCTCTGCTAGCTTCTAGATATTACTCAATTTGTTCACTTCTCCATTGGGAACAGAGCTCCCTTCCCCGCCTAGTTGAACTTGTGAAAGCTTCGTTGATTATCAAATTGAAAGACGAATTTGCTACTGACATTCATATGTAGGAAGAAAAATGTTTAAAGTAAATGCGATGTTGTTACTGGGTTTAATGCAGAAAATAAATTAATTTTTTAAATTGTTTTTATTTGACCGTTAAACATGAGCGTGAGTTGTTTTAGGTATCTGTTTAGGCGAATTTTTCCTAAGCGTGTCCTCCCTCATTTTGTTTACTTTCATTTCGGTTTCAGAAGGGAATGGCAAAGATCGGGAGGAAGTGTAGGTGTGTATAAATTGTGTTTTTCATTAAGAGTTCTTATCATTGCCACTCATTAGACAATGAAAAGTGGACTTAAAGGACATCTATACGAATGAGTGATTTAAAGGCCAAAAAGTTAAACTTTTTGTGTTCCAACCAGTTGTAAAATTAACTAAGACATATTACTATGAAAAGAGAAAATTGTTCACCATGCTATCTCACATAATTTTTAAGACTTGTATTCTGTCTTTTGGCGATTACACAATTGTTACCTTGCCATGAAACAAAACAAAAATAAAGTGAATCAATACATTGTTTAAAGTAAAATCACTCACTGATTTGCAACTGAGGCGGCCTTATGGGGCATTGTAGTCTCTCACGTCTATCTCCACTCGGATCACTAACATTTATCGTTATGTTCTTTTACAGCAAATCCTACATATGAACGGGGTCACGATAGAGGTCTCGTTTTGGTGCAAGTGTCAACCCTCAGCCCCACAAGACCCCCCTCAGTTGCTTTTGTGTCGCCTTATGCGATTGTCTATCAACCTGGCCACAACAACTTGTACGAAAGCTTGCGTAGCATTAAGAATAATCCAGCGCTAAGACGTCACTCCTACTCCATATACCAGGATTTAGTCAGTGCTGGAAATGCAAGTTCGTATCAAGAAGCCCTTGCGAGAACAAGAAGAATATCATTCCCGTCATCAAATGATAGTAAGTCCCCTACAGGAGCTTCCAACGCGCCGTGCGATTATGCAACAGTGCGGAAAAAAGTAACGAGAGAGCCTGGGGAGAAGTGTTCCCGTCACGCAACAAAAGCAGCGGATTTCATTGTTACGTGTCCGTCACTTCCGTCGTCTTCGCTACGGAGGGAAGAAATGGCCAATGCAGTCGAGATAACTGGATGTTCTTCATCGATATTGTCGTTATCATCATTACAATTTTATGACGGTGAGGACCAAAACGTTGACGATTTAGACTCAATGCAAAAAAATGACTCTTGCGTTGAAAATCAACCAGGTGAACTCGCTACCATTCAGAGCAATGAAAACATGCACCGCGTGTCTGATATGCCTCATGATGACATACATGAACACTCGTTGGAGAGTGGACTCAGCGGTTTGGAGTTCATTTTAGACTCTGATTGTAGCGAGAGCGACAGCGCATTTGGAGAAACCATCGATGAATCGGAGAATCAATCACCTTTTTACTATGTGCTGGAAGAATCCGAAAAGACCCCAGGGGAAAAATTATATATTTCTCTCGTTTAACGATAATTGCTCTTGAACTTCGCGACAATTACGTGACATTTAAAGCAATAATGTTTAACTGGTAATGCGTGACACTTTTTAGAACTCGCTGATTATTATGCTTGTAATGGCAGTTTTCCATCTGTTACTTTTAGATATGTCTGGCTTTTCACCAGATTACTGACAATTCGTGGTATATAAAGGTATCTCGCACCAACAACTTTCAAATATTCAGTCATTTCAGTTGATACAGGAAACAGTTTAATTGAGTAAGACACAATCAATATGTTTTGTTTGATGTGATCTTCCGGGTGAGGCTAGTCACTACGGTCAGGGGTGAGGAAGAGGGGTTTTGGCCACTCTCCCTACTATCACCCCCAGACAGACGGTTTCACGACTGGCGATTTTTGGATTGAAAGAGACCTCTCTGAAAATGCCTGCTGATCGAATTTAGCCGTGAAAAACTGGTGCCATGTTGTATATTTTCTTCTATGTGTCTAACTATTATTTTCACGATAGAAAGTTTTACCAATAAATCTTCAGAAAAAATGCAGTTTCGTGCTATTTTCGATAACCGTAGCATTCTCTTGACGCAAAGTTTGAGCTATAAAAGGAAAGAATACGCCTGAATTGTAAACGAGCTGGGTGGCCCATCCCGCCAGAGCTCGTCTGGTTTTAAGGACTGTGTCTGCTTTCTTTGACAGTTAAGTAGTACTTATTTATACCCTTGGATGGAGACAGGCATTTTAACAGTTACGTGTCTTGCCTGGGAACATAACACGAATGACGATCGCGTCAAAAAGGAGGTCACGCGCATTAGTGTGGCGTTACAAAACTTCGTAACGATAGAAACGTACCCGAAGTTGTCATGCTAAAAATTAAATTTGTGCGGTGTCTCGATACGATGACTTCCGTCGCAATTAACTCGCAGCTAAAAATAAGCGCTGAATTTACCTTCTCCGAAAATTACAGATATGTAATTTTGAAAATGTCGGGAGAATTATTCTCAACTATAAAATTATCCTTGTTCAAAGGTCCGGAGGATTTCGGGCGAAAAGGTGAGCTACAGTGTGAATATTGTATGAATCAAATATACCGAATCCGACCCGGATGATGCAACTCCATTTGCAGCCCTTTTCATCGAGGAATAAAGCCAAGAAGGTAAAGGATTATTCACATAAATAAGGAAGGTATCGATATACCTAAGGGAAGCTTAGGGAGGTCTCTGTGAAGGCGCAGGTGGGCTGAACTGTCCAAGTATTTCACCATTAAACCGTGGAACAGCTGTAACGCTATCATACTGTCACAAGACCGTTTGCTACTGAATGATATCATTGGTTCTCATGATCGGTGATAAGAACAAAAGGACAATGGAAACAAGGACTCGAACATTATCCACAGCCCTCAAAGCAATTGTCAAAACCTTTTAAAATTAGAAGTTCACAAGTGGTATCGATACATTTTGCTTTGACGAAGAGAGAGTGAGAGTACACCCTTATTTATGGCTGCCGTTGAAAGCTTTAGCAGTTACACCTGGTTGGCTGTAATCTTTAGCTTTTTGGCGTTCATCTACTGGCAAGGTCTCAGTCGTTATAATTCGATTCTTAGCGGTTCTCCTCTGCCGGGTCCAAAAGTATGGCCGTGGATCGGTAACCTCCTCGATATATTCAAATATGGAGGCATACATAAGATGTTCTTAAACTACTTCTACAAGTATGGACAAGTACATACGATGTGTTTTGGTCGCACACCAGTTATTGTTGTAAGCGATCCTGAAATTGTCAAGCAAATTTTGGTCAAGGACTTTTATAAGTTCCCAAATCGACCTTCCTTCATTAAACCGAACCCTCCGCTGGATTCAGGACTCTTCCAAGCAGAGAACGGCAAATGGAAGCGTATTCGCACAACAGTAGCTCCAACTTTTACAGCGAGCAAACTAAAGGGGATTGTACCGATAATAGACGATGCCTCGCAAAAGCTTCTGGCCAAAATGGAATGGCTTGCCAAAACCGGTAAGTCTGACTTATTGGGTGTATTCATAGAGTTACGTAACTGCGGGAGTGTCGTCAGGCTTAAAAGATCTAGTATACAACTGTCATAGATCAATTTTCCATCGTGATATCTTTTTTAAATTAAAGTTAACAATCTTGTTTTCTCGATATGATTCGCAAATTTCTTGAGAGTGAAGAGCTGGGACGCCGAGAAAGTTTTATCTTTGACATACAGTCTTTCAGCCTGTCTGATCACGATGCCGTGTGTTTCAATGGCCTCTTTTGTTTGGATGGACCGTAATAGCATTTGCTCAGACGAGGGGTCACTAATCCATCAGTAAGGGACACTTAAGTGTTCGTATCTCATTTTTCTCACGCCAGTTTGTTGTTTTTGAAAGAAAGGAACAAAATGGAAGAAGAATGAAACAGGAGCTCCTCCTCGGTTTGGTGATCTTGGTAATTTACTTTGACGGGCAACTCAAATTTTTTTCCTTCACGGCAAGGGCCGGTCTGAACTTGTAGGAAATAGAATGTGATGACTCATGCAAGCCTCATCATAATAACACGTTCAAACCCGTTCGACTGTAGAACTAATGATGCGTTCAGCTTCATTAGCATTACGCGTCTGAACCTGCCCTAAAGTATGTTTGTCTTTTTTATAGCGAAGTCACGCTAACTCAAGTCTGAACTAAAGTCGATTATGCGTTAAAAATAGATGTCGTCTGCCATTGCGCACGATACGATTTTACACGGCAATCGAACATTCCGTTCTGGCAACAAGTTGCAAACTTCTGAAAGCCATTCAAAAACCGGCAACATTGTTTCCAGAATTTTGGTGTTCCGTCAAAAATCGACTGGCGTAAGAACGCATACCGATCGTTGACTCAACAAAGGTGATTTTATGTTGTCACGTATGACATGGCTTAAAAGTTGGCAGTCTCAGACTGCGTATGACCACTGATAGAGCACGATTTTATATCACTGAAAAGAAATAAAGGTTGTGTAATAATGCTTGACGGTTGTGTTGCAGAAGATTTGTCTCACATGCAAAACAGAAAACCTGCCGCATCTCGCATATTTAGAAGCATCCTGTTCCACAAGAGAAAGATGATTGAAGACTAGAGTAATTTAATGACATTCAACCAATAATTGAATGGTAACAAATAATCGTATTAACCATAAAGATAATAATCATAACAATAGCAATGGTAATGATAATTAAAAGGAACTAGCTCAAAAACCTCACATACTGTTCCTCTATCCTCAAGGTTCAAATAATGACTAAGCTATGCTTCTTTTAATTTTGCCTGTTAATTATAAGTTTCAAAAGTAGCTTTGAGATCAGCTCGATCTTGGGTGAGTAATATTTCGTTGAGTGGGGATCGGGGGTCGGGAGGGTGAGGATCTTATTTGCTGGTTAGAGCTCTCTCTCCAGCTTTAATTGATGTTGCACTGATCGTAAATTTCGATGTCTTTTTTATTTCTTTCCAAGGTGAATCAGTGGATGTCAACCGTCTGTTCAGTCTCTTTGCCTTGGAGGTGATCATGAAAGCAGGCTTTGGATATGACAGCGACATTCAAATGAATCCAGATCCAGAATTTGTCGAAAAAGCTAAAAACGTCTTTAAAACACCTGTCGTTATCAGAGTGTTCTCTTTGTTTCCCTTCTGGACCTACTTCAGCCGATACTTCAGCCTACTCCAAAATATAGAATATTTTATCTCCATAGCAAAAGAAATGCTTCAAAAGAGGGCTCGAAAAAGTCCAACAGCAAAGAAAGACTTGGTGGAGCTTATGATGGAAGCTCAGGAGAACATTGTTGATGGAGTCAGCAGGTTAAGCGACGATGAAGTTGTGGCTCAATCCATCACTTTCTTAGTGGCCGGCTTCGAGACAACTGGTAGCACTTTAACAAGCACAGCATACCTCTTAGCTACCAATCCAGTGGTTCAAGAAAAGCTCATTGAGGAGATCGACAAAGCAGAAGCAGAGAGGGCCCGTAACAGCTATCCTCTTTATGACCATGTGCAAAAACTCGGATACTTGGATCAGGTCATCTCCGAGGTCCTACGCCTTTGTTCCCCAGCCTTCAATCTTGTTCGTAGCTGTGAAGAAGAAGCAGTCTACAAAGGCATCCGGTTTCCCAAGGGAGTTGAAGTCAACATACCGTCATACGTTCTGCACCGGGATCCACAGGTCTGGGAGAATCCACTGGAGTTTAACCCAGAGAATTTCTCCCCTGAAGCGAAAGAGAAGCGGAACCCGTATTCCTACATGCCATTCGGAACAGGCCCGCGTCATTGCATAGGGATGCGCTTCGCTCTGTTAGAGATCAAACTCGCTCTGGTGAAGGTCTTGCAGCGATTCAAATTTGAGCGTGCTCCAGAAACTGTAGCTACACTGGAGCACCGGGCTGTGATATTAATGGCACCAAAAGACATGATATACCTTAAGATAAAAGCACGTTAGAACAACCACGGAGCGTCTTTTGTTGGTAGTATTTGCATATTAAAGCTGTCAATATAATCTTAAAGCATAACCTTTTCTTATATTCCCTACTCACCTAAGTGTTGGTATTTATGCATATGACAAATAACTGCAGAGCCTAGTGTAGCAGTTTAGTGGCCTCTGCTCAGCGGCATCTTATGGTATAAACGTCACAGTCAGTGGCTTTTGTGATCAGCAACTCATAGCTGGGCTTAAGCAACGTATCGCAAAAATTGTTATGTGATGAATTTAGGTTTAATTAAAATGCCTAAAAAAAAGACCTCTCAACCTATATTTTTAGAGTAGGTGACTGTTCCGTAAGTGTATTTTTTAAAGGTTGCTTCGAGGCTAGATTTGCTCCTTTTTTTTTCTCCCATCATAAAATTTCATCGCAGCATGAATCTATTTCGCTCTCAAATTTCTACGCTAGTTTGAGTTTCAGTATTCGAAAGAAACACCACCCGTTATGTTAATATTACGAAATCTTTTCTTTTCATTTTATCCGTACAATTTGTTTCATCGTTTTGCTTCGCACACATAATTTCTGGAGTCGTATCTCGGTCAAAATAATGTCTTCTTATGATGCTGTATCTTTCAAACGGTTTAGCTTTTTATCATTGTTTTTTTCCACAATTGTGCTGTTAAAAAAGAAACGATTTTCTGTTCTACCGATCACTTCTGTATTCTGGAGACAGAAGAACATTTAAAAAAAACTTTTCTGTTAGAGTGCGCAGCCCACTTCCGGCAATTTTCTTTAGCTCCTGATTTCAGCTTAAACCTGATCGGAAACTTAATACCTCGCGCCTCTCAGATAGATATTAATATTCTCCTAACAGTCCTCTTTACATTTCCCAAGGTAGTGACAAGGAGAATTTGTTTAACAATCAAGAGCTTCTTTAGTTGTTGATTATTTCCTTTATTCTCGTGACCTTTCTGTGTGATTCAGGGGGGATATTGTAAGGAAAAATTAAAAGGAGAAACTTGCTCTGGCGTAGAAAGCAGCTTGAGGCAAAAGAAAATAAATCCGGTATTTCAATTGTAATTTTAGTTTCCAATGTCTTTCGAAAGTTTTAGCCATGTTAGCATTAACAGGAACTTCTCAAAATTTTCGGTTTCGTCTCCGTTGAGTAAACTTCGGGTCAGTGCTAGAGAGCACTTCACAGTTCTTTCCGGTTCTCAAGCTTAAAAAAATACCATGTTTGTACAACTTAAAGTCACAATCGTTATAGTTTTAGGTTTCATGACAACAATGTTGATTTGCAACGTGAGTGCAGCTTGCATTAATACGGAGAACATATGCAAGAAGCTTTCTTGTCCCGCTGCGAAGGAAACCAGTTGTGGCAACACTTGTTGTTTCATAAATGATTCTACTGTCGCATTTCAGGTTACTAATTTTGATCCAGAAATAGGTGAGTTTCAGATTAATTTGTAGTTAATTTCATGATTCTATCTTTTGCACGACTGGCACTTACAGAGCAGGAAGTATTCGTAATTAAAACTTAGCAGCCGGTAACGGAAATATAAGGAGTTTAGTGAGGATCATCTCAAGTGGCTGTACATAAACTCCCTGCTCAAAAAGGATGCGCTATAACGGCCTCGGGTCACGATTTTATTCTTTAACGAGGTGCGTCACATTCAGTTCATTTGGAATAATTTGGCATAAAAATCTCATTGATTTCAGGTTTAGAAATCCGTGACAATCTGTCCCAGCCTTAATTGTTCATCGTTGTTTCATTTTCGTTTTATCCTGCCTCTCTACTCCTAAAGAGAGAAAAAAAATATTTCTTTATCGATATGCTACAGAAGATTTCGTTCAAAAATGAAACGGTTCTCCGTTCACCCCTTTGGACAAAGCAAATTTCCGCGTGTTCAGTGGGTTTCGTTAATTCATCTCAAAAGAAATTTTGCTGACCTAACTTTTTTCTGACTTTATTTTTAGAATATCTGGGGTCCTTATTGATAATCAACCAAACACTGTTCAAAGTTTCCCTTCAGCAAAACATTGAAAATGCGACATTAAAATGCATTGCCCGGATATGCTGCAACAAGACTCTGAATCAAATGACTAACTTCACATATGGGAAGCTAAACAGTCTTTCAGATAGCTTTGAAGTTCAACTTGAGGTGAGAAAACTTGTAGCTGCAAAACATCATTGATGTGTAGACTATTTTGCAAGCGTTCCTTACTCATTTGATACACGTGGTGTTCAAATCGAGATTGTCGACTTAATCTGTACATATGTTACTACATGATGTACAAGTGATGTACGTGATGTACTACGTGATATACAAGTGATGGAAATCAGTTTACGATCAAACAAAAAGGGTAATTGGAAAAGACAAAATAGACTCGAGATTCTCTATTGAAATGCGTTATCACCATATACCGTAAATCCTCTATTAAGCCCCCCTCTATTTAGCCTGCAGTTCAGGCATTTTTGGTGCTTTTCATCTTTCGAATGTTTAGCCGCCATGTTGGATTCGCTGCAGACTGGGAGAATTAGCTTGGTAAACTTTTTACCTCGCCCAACTCTCCACTGTTTTTCTAATTCAAGATGGCGGCCTGAACCATCGATGGGAATATCCACTCGCCCCGCCAAAATCCGCCTGCACTGCAGGCTACCCTCTATTAAGCCACCCCCCTCTAGTAGATGAAAAGAAAACATTTTGAAACATTTTAAACATATTGTAAACCTGGATAATTAGATTTGGTGTACCAAAATTAAGTTTCTAAAGATAAAAATCATTTAGTGCAGACCACACAAGCTGAGTAAATGGAAGACAAAGACCTCTTTAAGCCACCCCCTCTAATAAACCACCCCCTCTATTAAGCTACCCCCCTCTAGTAAGCCATCCTCCTCTAATAAGTCACCCCCTCTAATAAGCCACCCCCTCTATTAAGCCACCCCCCTCTAGTAAGCCACCCCCTCTAATAAGCCCCCCTTTAGAAGGAGACATTCATTAAGCTTCCCCCCTCTTTAAGCCCCCCACCCACCCCTGAGGATTACTGAGGATTTTGACTCTGCCAATAAGGTAAATGAAAAAATGTAAAATTGTACCCTGGTAGTGAACATCGGGCTGAATCAATAAGCGCCCTTTCTAATAACCCACCTCCCCCCTCCCCCCAAAGTACCTGAAATAATAATTCGGGGGGGGGGGCTATTAGAGGATTTACGGTACAGTCGAACCTCGATTATCCGGACCCATTGGGACTGAGGTAATCAGTCCGGATAATCGAGAGTCCGGATAATCGAAAATATGAATATTAATGAGACAATAATGTAAATAAAAGAAATAAATACGTATGATGCACGATCCTCGCAGTAGATAGCGCTATTTAAGCAATAGCGAAAATCAGACCTGAAAAAAATCAGGCCTGTACGGGATTCGAACCACTGACCTCTGCGATACTAGTGCAGCGCTCTACCAATTGAGCTAACAAGCCAACTGGGAGCAGGCCGTTAAGTTGATTCGTAATAAACCCGTGAAAGTGATAAATCAGATACAATGAAATATATGAAGTTCATATATTTTGAACTGCGGTATTAGATACGTATGATGCACGATCCTCGCAGTAGATAGCGCTATTTAAGCAATAGCGAAAATCAGACCTGAAAAAAATCAGGCCTGTACGGGATTCGAACCACTGACCTCTGCGATACTAGTGCAGCGCTCTACCAATTGAGCTAACAAGCCAACTGGGAGCAGGCCGTTAAGTTGATTCGTAATAAACCCGTGAAAGTGATAAATCAGATACAATGAAATATATGAAGTTCATATATTTTGTACTGCGGTATTAGATACATATGATGCACGATCCTCGCAGTAGATAGCGCTATTTAAGCAATAGCGAAAATCAGACCTGAAAAAAATCAGGCCTGTACGGGATTCGAACCACTGACCTCTGCGATACTAGTGCAGCGCTCTACCAATTGAGCTAACAAGCCAACTGGGAGCAGGCCGTTAAGTTGATTCGTAATAAACCCGTGAAAGTGATAAAT